GCCGTCTTAGATTGAGCTAGCCGGGTACCATGTTAAAAGAACACTGTACATAAAAGACCCTGAGCTAAAACCACCCTGTATAGTCACCCCCAAATTCCTGACCCACAGAAAGTATGAGATAAGAAATGTTTGTTTAAGCCACGAAGTCTTGATTTTTTTACATAGCAGAGTATAACTAACATTAATATACCTATTATATAAATGGTAAGTTGAGTCTCGGAGACATACAGTGACTAGCCCAAAGCCACACAGCTAGAGGTGCAGAAGAAATGGAAAGAGAGCCTTCATCTTGTGACTGGTGATCCACACAGCACAGGTTCCCTCAGAGCCCCATGAGTCTGCTGTTCTCTGATTTGGCTTCAGGAGAGATGAGACTGCAGGCACGGGGCAGTGATTGCCCAAGCAACCCTGCCACACTCAGGGTCTGGGCCAGCACAGCTCCTCCGACAGGGAACACAGGGTCAGAGACGGGGTGGAGACTCTTGTCTCCCACTTGCTTGGGGTCTCTGTCACAGAGAAACAATCCATGGAGGCCTCGTCTCAGGCCATCCATGCACATGTGTCGTGGGCCTCCACTCATGCCACATGTGGAACTACGGCTGGCCCACAGAGCTGCAACTCCTCTGGGCTGTGTTGGAAGCCTATGATGCGGGGGCTTGTGCCTGACTGACTGCAAGTCAGGGTTGGCCCTTGCTGTCCAGCACCCACACTGCTGATTCATGGGGCTACTTTAGAGAAGTTGCCCCACTGAAGGGAGCTTTCAGTTCCCATGTGAGTCACTGGCCATGTGGACATCAGTCACCCATGCACAAGAGGGGCCTGAGCTATGTGAGCGCTCAACAGTGAGCTGAGTGTTGTGATCATGGGGTCAGTGAGTGACAAGGCCCAGCTGGCTCTGTTTTCTCATCCTTCCAACTAGATTCGACTTATTCCAGCAAGAGTTACTAGGGTCCTGTGGGCGGGACTGGGATTGGGCAAGTCAAAAGGGTAGTTTAAAACAAAAGGGCCACCAGGCATGGTGGCTCACGCTTGTAATCCCAACACTTTGGGAGACTGAGGCAGGTGGATCACCTGAGGTCGAGAGTTCAAGACCAGCCTGGCCAGCATGGCAAAACCCCGTGTCTACTAAAAAAACAAAATACAAAAAAATTAGCTGGGCGTGCTGGTGAGTGCCTGTAATCCCAGCTACTCAGGAGGCTGAGACAGGAGAATTGCTTGAACCTGGAAGGCAGAGGTTGCAGTGAGCCAAGATTGTACTGCTGCACTCCAGCCTGGACGATAAGAATGAAACTCCATCTCAAAAAAAAACGCAAGAGGGCAAGAAGGGCTGAGCAGTCACTGCCTGTCCCCAGGGTCTCCAGTCAAGAGAGACTTGAGATGGCGAAACCTTCTGATGAAGGACCTCAAAGGCCCAGCAGAGTGACTTGTGACTACATCCTCGTGTGGTATCCAAGGACCTCCAGGATAGGAGAGAAAAAAAACAAACAAGGCATAGGACATCTGGGTTTTCATATCAACTCAAGATTCTACCACTTGGATAGCCATGGACAAGCTGTTGGCCAATTCAAGCCTCAGTTTTCTCATGAGTCAAATCAAGCTAATGGTTTTTTAACTTTGGTTTCTTGGAGCCTTAGGGTTCTTCGGAGCTACATTGGGGCTTGCCATGAGAAGGCAGCCTTTAAACCAGTGTTGTCCAATAGAAATATAAAGTGAGTCACATATACAATTTTAAATTTTTGGTAGCTAGGCCGAGCATTAGTGGCTCATGCCTATAATTCCAGCACTTTGGGAGGCCAAGGCAGGCAGATCATGAGGTAAGGAGTTCGAGACCAGCCTGCCCAACATGGTGAAACCCCATCTCTAATAACAATACAAAAATTAGCTGGGCGTGGTGGTGCGTGCCTGTAATCCCAGCTACTCAGGAGGCTGAGGCAGGAGAATCACTTGAACCTGTGAGGCAGAGGTTGCAGTGAGCCCAGATCGCACCATTGCACTCCAGCCTAAACAACAGAGCGAGACTCTAAAAAAAATAAATAAATAAAATAAAAAATAAAAAAATTTTTAAAATTGGTAGCTAAATTTTTTAAAATCTAAAAATAAATAGGTAATTAGCTAGGTGTGATGGTGGGTGTCTGGAGTCCAAGCTACTGAGGAGGGTGAGGCGGGAGGATTGCTAGAGCTCAGGAGTCTGAGGCTGCAGTGAGCCATGATCATGCCACTACACTCTAGCCTGGGTGACAGGGTACGACCAAGTCAGTAAAAAATAGGTGAAATTAATTTTAATATTATCTTTTATTTATTGAATATATCTAAAATATTTCAACATGTAATCAATCGATTACGTGTATTAATAAGATGTTTCACATTTTCTTTATCATACTAAATCTTCAATATCTGGCATACGGTTTGTATGTAAGCCCATCCCAATTTAGACCAACCACATTTCCACAGCGCAATGGCTGTCAGAGTTGTGTACGTCACCTGTGAAGGGGGAGGAGGAATTGTCTTTAAGAAGAGAAGACCTCTCTCTAGTGGACAAAACAGGAAAACACATGAGAGACCAATGGATTAAATGAGCAAAACACTGGAAAGCACGGGCATATTTGGGGGTGCAAAGGGGTCAGTTCAGCTAGAGTGTGACGGGGAGAGGAGGGAGTGTGAGAGAAGACGCCATGAAATCACTGGGCTTCTCCCAAACCCTGTGGTTTTCATGACATCAGTTTCTCTGAAATGTGCCTTTGGGTTGTAAAGTATCACATGGAAGAGTTCTGTCTTCATAGCTGAGACCTAGTGAGGCCTAGGGGATACAATGAAAGTAGAACATGACATGATAGCTTAAGGCATAGGCCACAGAGCCCAACAGCCTGGGTTCGAGTCCTCACTCTGCCTCTTGTTGGCTGGGATAATAGACACAGTTTCCTCATCTGTTCAATGGACACTTGGCCATCAACAGTTCCTCCCATCCCTCTACATGCATGCTTGCTGTATTCCATCAAGATCTGGAGTTCACTTTCCTTTCTTTGAATCTAGGGTTAAGGGTTACCTTGTGATTTACTTAGACCAATGCACTGTGGCAGAAGGATACTGTTGGCCTCTAGGAAGCCAGCTGCCTACTGTGAAGCTTGGGTTGGACAACCAAATGATGAAAAACCACACGAAGAAAAAAAGTCCACATGGAGGAATCTGAAGCACTAGACATGACTGAATTCTTCCTGAATCTTCTAGCTGAGCCCAGCCACAGGAGTAATGGACAGAACTACCTAGCTGAGCCTCACCTGAAATTCCAGACCAAAGGATCATGAGAAATAATGCATTAAGTCACTAAGTTTTGAGTGGTTCTATAGATAGCCATATATAACTGAAACAAAGATGATATTTGCCATACTTATCTCACAGAGCTGTGTGAAGGTCAAGTGAGATGAGGCATGTACCACGCAGTGCCTACAGTAAACACTCAAAAGTTGTAAATATAATTGTAATAGTTGTCATGTAAGTATGGTTCACGATAAGTGTTGTCATTTTGATATTAGGACATGCCTAAGTAATACAAGCCAGACTCACCTACCAGTACTTTTGAAAATGAAAAGCTACTTCTTTGAGTGATCATTTGGTTCCAAAAAGATCTCAAGCTGAAGTGTGAGCACGGGAAGCAGGGGGCAGACGTGGCCATTTAGACAACAAGAACGTGCTCATAAAATATACCGTATTTTTAAAGTTATCAAATGACAACAGACAATTAAAAATTCTCCCAGATGAGGGCTGTACAGAATACAATCCCAATTTCAGAAACACTGCCGTACATTCCAGGGAGCCACTGGGGACCTCAGGCAGGAGCAACATGACAAGACACTGGATCCTCCAGACCAGCATGTGCAGGATGGGTGGGTGTGGGAGGATGGAGGAGAATGACAGCCGCCCTCTGGCAGATCAGTGAGGCAGGCCAAGGCCAGGCCCCTGACCCTGGGAGTGAAAACTGATGGCAGGCTTGCTGCTGGAAGGAGAGTGAGTGTGGCCTATTCTTTCAAGAAATTTGCTGTGACAGGGAAGGGCAGACAGGATGGAGCACAAATTCAAAGTGTTTTAAATGGAGAAAAAGTAATACTTGGACCACAATACAGGCTGCAGAACAATTGTCATGATAAGATCAAAAGCATCAGAGGCATTCCAGAGGCTGGTTAGGAATAAAGACTGGAGCCAGCTTTGCTGCCCCCTGGCCGCAAAAGCCTGCATACAACAAAAGCTGGATGAGTACTCCCCAGGCTCATTCCTGGCCTGTCCCACATAGGGGAGTGGAGACATCTCAGTGAGGAATTTTAAGAGCACCAAAAAGCTGAATCAGGATGACATTACAGAGTGGCAAAAATGAGTCCTCACTCAAAGCACTGACTTACATAGCTGCTGTCGCTTGCTCCATCATCTCCAGTCCTTAAAATACCATGATTTTCATTTTCTCAGAAGAAATAAAACAATGAAAAATATCTAGCATTAATTTGAATAGTAGAAATATATAATGCACATAGGATTATAGTCAAAAAGAGAATTTGTATGCCAGAATGAAAAAGGAAGCTATTGTTAAGAGTCTACTAAAAACATCATGAAGAAAATCAAATCCCAGTTCTTCTTTAGAGACCTGTAGCCAAGCAGCTTCTTCTTTGATTTTTTTCCTAGGTGAGTTTCTGCTTCATGGGAAATACTTATATATACACAACAAGAGGTGTTTTCCACCGCATATCCACCTCCTTGCTCAGCTAAGATAGAATCTAAAGCAATGTGATTGTCTAGCACAACCTTAGTCAATAAATCTGGAGCTTTTTGTTGAGCTGTGATGGAGGGAGCAGTTTCATCAACAATGTCTCCTAGGGTTTTAGAAAGATTTTAGATCATGTGTTCACAGGAAGTTACACCCAACCAAGGCAAAAGAGTTCTCAAAAAAAAAAAAAAAAAAAAAGCATGGTGCTATCTTCTTGATGGGCAGCAGATAATTAGCACTCTTTCTTTAAATAGAATCTGCATCTAAAGTAGACCTGCAGTCATGCCTAGAGAAAAATTTGAGGGAACTAGTCCAGTGCTGTTTCTTCAGAGCTGCATGGAGAGAGAAGGGTAACAAAATACCCTAAGAAACATTGCCCTTCATCATTCCATACCCTTAAACACTTACCGGACCATGGATGGTGATCTTCTCCACAGGCTAAAATAAATTCTGGTGGAGCACAGGTAAGTACACTATAATTTGAGAACGTCAGTTTTGGGGCATTACTAGATCAATGGGTCAGAAATGTTAGAGCCAGAAGACAGGATCCTGACAGCGGGAGGGACTGTTTTCCTTTGGATTTTCTAACAACATCCTGGATTTTCGTACTATGATTATTGAGTAAGGGAGCAACGATTTTGACAACAGGATTCTGATGAGTTAGACTGAAACACAGGACAAGCAGGTTAAGATGAGTCAGGCAGATCTGATAAACAGGTTTCCTTTTATGTGGCCTTGAGTTGTGTTACAAGGGCTATAATGAATACTGGTGAAATTTAGGACAGAAGATACCAGTGGGTCGTTTTTGTTTTAGGGTAGCAAACCCAGCATCTCTTCAAATTTCCGGCAGTGGCAGTGGTCTGGGGGATTTTGAACAGAGGATTATTCCTCCATGGTATGGTCAAATCTATCAGGGATGGCAAAACAGAAACCCAGGCCAGGTGCCGTGGCTAATGCCTATAATCCCAGCACTTTGAGAGCCGAGGTAGGAGAATTACTTGAGGCCAGGAGTTTGAGACCAGTGTGGTCAACACGGCAAGACCCATCTCTACAGATTCTTTTTTGATTAGCTGGGCGGTGTGGTGCACACCTGTCATCCCAGCTACTCGGGAAACTGAGTTGGGAGGATTGCCTGAGCCCAGGAGTTGGAGGCTGCAGTGAATTATGATCATGTCACTACATTCCAGCATGGTCAACAGAGCAAAACCCCATCTCTAAAAAAAGCAAAACAACAGCAACAACAACAAAAACCCAGGAATCTGATTACAAACATTTGTTTACATATATCCTAAGAGAATGTGTGTGTGTGCATATATATGTGCACACATACATATATATATGACAATTTTACCAAAACAATTTTATCCAACAGAGGATACCCACATATGAAGGAGACCTAAAAGCATAGGTATTCCAGTCAATAGAAAAAGGAGAGCAAATATTTCAGGTGTGGCTGGCATTAGAATTACGAAGAACAAGTTGTACAGGCCTGGTCTGGTATCTTGGGTGAAAACAAACAACCGCAAATGTCAGCTGCTTTCCACCCTGGTCAGGAAGGCTGCAAGTCAGCTTCCACTGAAGATCTCCTGTGACAGAACATGTCCCTCTGGTAGGGTTGTCTTTTTAAAACGAGAAATATAAATCCATGACTCAATGTCTTTAGGTTTAGTGGCACAGGGATTGGCCAATAGTACCTGATATGGTCCCTTCCCACCAGGTGCGAAGGGATCTTTTATTTGATGTCCTTTCCAGTAAACGAAATGTTTACATATTCTCACTTATAAGTAGGATCTAAACATTGGGTACACATGAACATAAATATGGAAACAAGACACTGGGAACTAGGAAGGAAAAGGAAGGGAGGGAGGCAAGGGTTAAGAAACTAACTCTTGGGTACTATGCTCACTATCTGGATGATGTGTTCAATCACACCCCAAACTTCAGCATCATACAATAGGCCCTTATGACAAAGCTGCATGTTGTACCCCGAATCTAAAATAATATTTTTTTTTAAAAAAAGAAAAGGAATAGTTGCAAATCACTCAAGTGGGAAATTCACAAAGGGCAAAAATGCTTGGAATGCCAAAACTACTTCACTAGCCTGTGAAATATTAGACAGCAGAGACCTTAAGAAAGAAAAAAAAAAATCTCCAGTGACAGGCCATGATTTTTGATGACTCCATCTCCCAGGAGCTCTCTGCAAAAGGAATTCTTGATTGATTTTGAGTTTTTAATGAGTATTCTGAGACCTTGGCAGTAATAGAGGATATCACCTTTAAGAAATGAAAATTCCCAAGTTCCTGCATCTAGTCAAGTGGGCCTTCCTATTATTATTTCAAAGAGAGAGAGCTGGCGTTTTCCAAATGGTGTTGATCACAGGTTGAGCAGACCTAGTGAGAGCGCCTTTGGCCAGGGAAAGTTAAAAACTTCGGTTAGTTTGGCCAAGTGAGTTTTTGTTATACTGTTGGTGTGTTTCACCAGTCCAGAGGATTGGGGGTTAAAAGCACAATGGAAATATTGTAATATAGGCCAAATGCTGCAAATGGATTGAATTACTTGACCAGCAAGTGTTCCTTGACTGCTCTGGAGCTCAGATGAAACTCCCCATGATGAAATTATCTTTTCTAATAAGAGTTTTCTTACTGCTTGGGCCATGGCTCATTGGCTTGGGAAGGTTTCGCCGCGGTGAGAAAACGCAAGTTAGCACCAGAACATATCTATAACCCGGGGATAGGGGCAGCTGAGAAAAGTCCAATTGCCGTACATCAAAGGGTCCTAAAGGCAAAAGAAAATGTCCCTGTAACCCCTGAAGGAGTTTTCCAGGATTATGTTTGGGACAAACCATACAGCAAGAATAAACAGAAGGGGATGGTTGCCAATAATGTTGCTTTCCCCAAGCTGTTGTTTCATCTGGATTCCAATGAGTCAGCTCATAAACACATTATTTAAAGGGTAATTGAAGGCGTAAGGGAAGGATTGGTCTATCATTAGGTCCACATCATAAGCCTGTTTCTAAGAAAACTTGGTTTTTTATCTTTCCTGGGGTTGACTTCCTTCTTGAGAGCTCCTGTTTGTGCTTCTTCTAATAAAATTGTGGTTTATTGTTTGTTTGGGGGGTCTGGGGGGTTTTGTTGTTTGTTTGGTTGGTTTTTGAGACAGGGTCTCACTTTGTCACTCAGGCTGGCGTGCAGTGGCACAATCTCAGCTCACTGCAACCTCCGCCTCCCAAGTTTAAGTGATTCTTCTGCCTCAGCCTCCTGAGTAGCTGGGATTACAGATGTGAGCCATCTCGCCTGGCCAAAGTTTTAAATGGGTAATAAGCTTGTAAGCACATTTCAAGATATCTATTGTCTGATGTAACCTTCAGGGCTGCGTTCTTAGCTGCATTATCAGCGAAATGGTTGTCACTGCTCTCTGGAGTATCTAATTTGGAATGACCAGGAATTTTCACATTTCAGTTTGGGGTGGGGACTGCTTCCAAGAGGTCAGAGGTACGTTGGCTTTTTTTTTTTTTTTTTTTTTGGAGACAGGGCTCTGTTACCCAGGCCAGAGTGCAGCAGCACAATCATAGATGATCTTGGAGGCTAGTATGAGGCATTCAATTCCAGAATATTGTTAAAAGGATTTTTCTGAACTGTTCAAAATAATCAAGCACAAATTCATCGGGCCTTTGAGTATATTGTTGAATGATCTTCCGGTCTACATTGCAGGAAAGATCTGGAAACAACATCATGGAGAGACTTGGCTGAAGTGTGGATCCTTTCATGGTCAGCTTCCGTTTGCTTTTCAAAATCCTCTAAGGGATTTTTCCAGATTGCTTGTTTTAGCCATTCACTGGCCCTGCCTTCTCATACCAGCATGTGAACTAATTGATAAAGATCAGAATATCTTGGCTCATAAATCTGGACAATTAAATCAGATAGTTCTGCAAACCCTATGGGATCTTGGAGCAGGTCAGGCAAGTCTTTTCATACTATTCTTAAGTTCAGTTTTTGTCCAAGGGGTATACACAATAGTGGCCTCACCTCTTGCTGTGGTTTTATCTAGAAAGGAGCTGCCAAAATGGGGTGTCAGGGATGGGGGTTCAAGTTCTAGGGAATTTCCTACGGCGGTAGTGAGAGGGAAGGAAGGTCAGGACAGGGGACTTGGGATAAGAGAGGATGTAAAGGTGCAGGGTGGATGAGGTGAAACAGCTGGAAGTGGACAAGAGGACGCCTTCAAAGTCTTTTTTAATTCAGAAATAGATCTAGGATCTTTTTGTTTACCTCGGATTGAGGCAGTTTTCTCAGAATTTATCTTTAAAAACTCTAAGTGCCATTGGAAGTAATTATCCTATTTCATCTGGTTCTAAAACCAGCCTTTTTCTATTGTGCACACAAAGGAATAATTTCGGGCATTTCAAAAGACCCACATTTTGGCCATTGTTGATGATCATCCCGGGCTGTGTGGGTCCTTTTTCCTAGATATTTACAAGAGGATGTCTCCTAAGTGTCGTACATAAAACCAGATTCTGTTTCTAACAGTGGTTGTCCCTTAAAAGAGCGCTCAGCACAGTGCAATCAAGGTAGAACTCAGAATTGAGAAACTTAAAAAAAAAAAAAAAAAAAAAAGGAGCGCTCAGGTGGCTGGCACGGTGGCTCACGCCTGTAATCCCAGCACTTTGGGAGGTCGAGGCGGGCCGATCACAAGGTCAGGAGATCAAGGCCATCCTGGCCAACATGGTGAAACCCCGTCTCTACCAAAAATACAAAAACTAGCTGGGTGTGGTGGCGCGTGCCTGTAATCCCAGCTACTCGGGAGGCTGAGGCAGGAGAATCATTTGAACCAGGGAGTTAGAGGTTGCAGTGAACCAAGAATGCACCACTGCATTCCAGCCTAGATGACAGAGTGAGATTCTGTCTCAAAAAAAAAAAAAAGACCGCTCAGATTTTGAAGCTTGATTTCCCATGATTTGCGAACTTCTCAAAAATGACCAAGGCCTGGAATGTGTTTGGGTGGAACTGTGGTACTTATGAGCACCACTCCTCTAGGTATCCCCCAAGAGTGGTGAGTTGCTTTCTTACATGTCCCAAAATGCCTCTAACCGCCAGGTGGCACCAGAGAGCTAAAGGTATAAGCGACCAGTCCTGTATTTTATGCCCACACAGCTGATCAATCCCTAAAAAAATGTTCTTGTGGTGAGAAATGCGCTGCGAGGCTCCTTCATGTCCTGGAGAACAGCCCTGACACCTCTGCAAAGCCTCCAGTCACCTAGAGCACTCCAGTGTGTCAAAGGGAGCAATTGCCTCTTTTCTTCATAGCAAGAGAACTCATTCTCATGCACTTTTCAGTTTAGAACTAATAGGAACGGGTCACAGATGAAACATCCAAATCTGAATTTCAAACAATAAGAAGTAGCTGCAATTTTAAAAGCATGCTATCAAAAGGAAAACCACCAGTGTCGAACTCCCAATACCTGGACCCA